TGGTCTTTGATTAATGACCCACGATTCTTGCTTAACAATGGCAACAGGGATTGCTTAGCAACAGATATTCCAATTATCATTATTAAGTGAGGATTACCTGCTCAAATACCCAGCACTAAAATCTATTACATAATACTGCAATTGGGATTTAAATTATTATAGTAGTCTTGATACAGTAAAAGAAATTAGAGATTTTGATACATTGGAATGAGTAAATGTATTTTCAGGACATAGCAAGTCTATTGACTAAATTACTGTAAAATGGGTTAATGGATTAGGGAATTAACTAGAAAGGATGCAACTTTTACATAGTGCTCACAATGTAGTTTGCATTCTACAGCAGGGCTGTTAAATTTGTGGCCCATGAGCCGGATACGTCATGTTCTGGCCACGCCCAAGCTCGGTTTAGCGAAGGGGAAAAAGTTGTAATATGTCACATGACGCCACCATGACTATGCATGTTTGATGCCCATGTGCTACAGGTCCATTGAGAGAAATTTCAAAAATTAAGAGAACAATACGTCTCAAACAGTTGACAAATCTGTAGTTTCTTCTTGTCTTACGCAACCAGTAATCCTTGCTGCCTTCTAGACATGCAAGCCTGGGGTTTAACGAATTGAAAAGAGATGCTTTAAGAAGTACTTAAAAGATAAGAATCTTTTTAAATATCTTGGAAAGGGGGGTACTACAATTAAAATCTTTAGAGGTATTAAAAGAGGAGAAGGTAGTTCAAACATGGTTCCAGTATGGGCAATTACAGGCTAGGTGGAAAATAGATCAAAAAANTCATCTTCAGGCTGCTGCTGACTACTTCAGGTTTGGTGTTTCCAGGAGTAGTCCTGGAAACATATATATATAATTATATAATTGTATTAATACAGTTTAAAATCTACATTATTAGTTTTATTAAGTATTCAAATTTTTAGGAATTGGTCAAGAAAATAACATTTTCAGAATTTTCAGATGAATATTAGTGTGCTGGATTTGTTTTCTAGTGGTGATTTATATTGTTGAAGAATTCAAGGTGATCAATCATTTTGTTAAAATCTAATGGGCTAACCTAATTATTGATTACTGAGAAGTGGATACTACAGAAATTTATTATAGTTAAATTGATAGAATGTAATGTCAACATTTATTTAATGGAAATAAATAATTATACACACACACTTAATTCAGTTTGTGTGTGTGTATATATATACATAATACATACATATACATACATACATACATACATACATATGCATACATACATACATACATACACACAAAAACTGAATTAAGTTTGGGAAATGGAATATATCAATAAAGTTAGCAATAAGTTTAACATTTGAAGAAAAAAATGTTGATTGTTGCTGATGAAAAATTGATTGATTGAAAAAAAGCAGGAACTAATTGCTTCAATCTTCCATTGCTTGTACCACAAGCAAAGCTTTTATTTGTTTATTTATTAAATTTATATGTCGCCCATCTTTCTGTCCAAATTACTTTTGGTTATAGAGTTGTTTCACTATAGTTAAAAGCTGAGTCCATATCTATAGATGCCTGTGCTAGTTGGATGTATTCATGCTGAAGTAAGTGCAAAATTCTCTAGTCTCGGCAAATTGGAATGACAACTTCTGAAGACAGAATAGACAATGCTGACTCTACAAAAAATAATCTGATGGTATAAGGAAATATCCTGTATATCTAAGGAAATGTTTTAGTAGACAAAGCTATTGCTATTTGCTATTTATGATGGTCAAAAAATAATTGGAGAAATAACACCTTTTTCCTAACTGTTTTGCCAATTTATCCATTAATCCTATACTCACTGTAATGTAAGGAACACAGCAGGTATATTCTCAGATAATTCAATATCTAAACATAGTTTTTGTGAGGGAAGAATCTATAGTAAGTTTTTTGGAGTTAGGCTTCAATAAAATTGATTTGCAGTTTCCTACTGTAGTAATATATTTTTGGTCAGATTAAATATTCCTTCAAATTTTGCCTCTCTTGCTTGGACTCTATATGCGGCTTTCTTACTCTTTCTTACTCATTTTAATTGTTGGTGATTGGAGATACATTTAATTGTCAAAAATCATGTGTTGTATACTCAGGTAGTTCTCTGGAAAGAAACTTAGCTTTTCAAAAACAATACATAAGTCCAGATGTTTGAGGCTATTTAGGTTTATTGCATATGGTAGAAACAAAATAAATCGACATCGTTTTCTGTTAAAGCATTAACTTTATTCTTTTTTTAAAAAAATCATAAAACTATATTTGCTAGCTTTTTGTGTATACCACAAAAATAACAGGGAAAGAAAAAATATTGTACTGTTTGTAGTTAATACCTGTCAAATGTATTAGATTTTACAGCACTCTTTTATATGGTTGGACAAATTTTACTCACAAAACGGTATTTCAATGCATATCAAAAAAAGAGTAAAAGAAATAGCTGGGTGCTATTCTTGGCTTTATATAAACAAAACAAAGCTATATAGTTATTGTTAAAATCTCTAGCTGAGGACTGAGCTAGATTATATAATGTGCAGTTCAGTGACATAATGTACAGTGGTCTTTGGGTATAAAGGCTAACAGAATAGAATAATAGACTTTGGAAGGGACCTTAGAGGTCTACTAGTCCAACCCCTGTTTAGGTATTTCAGACAAATAGTTGTCTAATCTCTTCTTAAAAACTTCCACAACTTCTGGAATCATTTGTTCCACTGATAGATTGTTCTAATTGTCTCCTGGGTTCTAGGTTGCTTCTCTCCTTGATTAGTTTCCATTTATTGCTTCTTGTCCTGCCTTCAGTTTCTTTGGAGAATAAGTTGACTCCCTCTTCTTTGTGGCAACCCCTTAGATATTGTAAGGCTGCTATCATGTCACCCCAGTCCTTCTTTTCATTAGACACACCAAATTCCAGCAACAGTTCTTTATATGTTTTATTGCCCAGGCCTCTAAATTTTTTCAGCTTTTTACGTAAAAAACACACAAATACATACAATGCTTAAGTATATATAAGTTCTCTTGTTGCTCTCAGTTGAAAATATATCTATTGTGTCCACATCAGTTGACTTTCCATAAGGATATATATTATTTGCAGTCTCTTTTGTCTTGTTTTTTCCATGTTGTGCTTAATATATTAGCAAATAAAAACTCAGCAGCTGTACATTGAATTGGAGGTTTTTAACTGGATTTGTGATGAGTGCATGCCATCCTGAACTTTTGGAATAACTTTAAGTATTTGCAAGTAACTCTTTTTTGGCTTGAGAATGTATTATGTATTTCTTCTTTTCAAAGTACAATAAAATATCATCTATATTCAGTGATTTCATAGAATTGAATGATACTTATCTGTTGTGGCTCAGCAGGAACCTTTGGAGCTGCTATCAGACTTTGACAGCGAGGGGCCCTATGAGTCAGGCCTGGAGGAGGCGGAGGGCCCTGGACAGGGTTCTGACTCCGAGCAGGGCTCAGAGAGACTAGTTGGTCCCCAGGTAATGACTGAGCCTTGGATCAGTGAGAGAGGCTGACACAGAAATCTCCTGTGAGTTGTTTCAGGATGCACGCAGGAGAAGGGCTGACACTTGAGGACTCCCAGGACATGATAACAAGCAGNAACTGCAAACACTTGTAGAAGGGGGTCGCTAAATGAGGATTGCTTGTAATGAGGTTTCTGGAATGTCCATTGTGACTCCAAATAGTTCCTACTAGTTAAAATCAAACATTATTACAAATAGTCAGATAAATATATATATGGTAACACTGTTATGTACTGAAAACATATTGCCAGATAATTATGAATTACTAGTGAAGGCTTGTAACATTACACCTTCATAAATACCCTTTTAAGCAAAGTATATTTTAGTTACAATTCAGTTGCTAAATGTTTAAGAGTCAACTTTCTTCTAATGAGAGCTAATGGTCTCAGTTTAAAAAATCTACCACATTTATGATGCATTTCTTTAATAAACGTTTCTATACTAAAACAGCAGCTTTAATTAACTAAACATCTGGTTTGCTATAAGGCTTAAGAACAGAGAAATGTACTTGTTAGAGATTTTCTGTCAGAAGAAAATGTTTAGCATGTTGCTTACTTAGGAAAAAGCTATTTTTAGCATCTGATGGAGGATCAAAGCATGACTTGAATTCCTACGCAAAAGTGTTATAAATTGAACTTGGTTAATGATTATAATTAGACAATTGTAGAAAAGCAGATAACTTGAAAAATACATTTTAAAATTTATTTTTTTCTTCTTTAATGGTATACTCTCCAAATGCAGTTTTATTGAGTGGGTGTTTTATTGTAGAATCATAATTGTTAAAATAATTTGGTTTTTTTGTTTTGACTTCATGACAGAAAAAATAGGATATTTTGAATTAATGCAAGCTGATAGTTTTCCTCATGCCAGCGAATGATCTCACCCAGGGTTCTAAGCAGATGTTAAAAAGGAGTGGGTACAGGGTGGAGCTCCTCTGAGGAACTCCACAATCCCTCCCTTCAATTCCTCCCTCCCCTCCCCATTCTGCCTCAATCAACACTGACTGGAACTACCTGGAGGATATAAATTAAGAATTAAAAATTAAAAAGTCCAGAAATAAAAAACAGAAAAGAAAAAAAGAATATTAAAGAAAAAGAAACCAATGACTTTCCCCTTCAAGTATAAACAATTTTAGTAACTTATCACTTTCTTTTAATATACAACAAATGATCTCTTCTTTTCATATCCCATCTTTTAGCTATAAACAAATCCTTAAAAGTCTTGTTCAGCAGGTTTGAAGGTTTGAAGGTTTTATTCGACTTGTATGTCGCCCTATTCCCGAGGGACTCAGGGCGGCTAACAAAACCAAGGGGGGGGGGGACAATACAAAAAGGAAAACCACAACAAAAACAAACAANAGTGTTGCAAAAAGATGTTCACCCCCATGCCATATTTATTTATTTAGCTGTTCTGGGCTACATGTCTGACGTTTTAGTGTCTAATTTCTTTATTTTTCTTTTTGCTTCTATCCAGGCATTCCTTCACAGAATAATGCAGTGGGCTATTACTAAGATTGATAAAAATGTAACAGAGGAAACGGTTAAGGTTAGTTGTTATTTGTTCTCACTTCCTTTTTTATTGTTTCTCAAATTGATTTATTTATACTCTGGGTTTCTTTCTTACAGACATTGTTCTCAAATATTGAAGATATTCTAGAAGTTCATAAGAACTTCCTATCTAGGATTGAAGAATGTCTGCACCCTGAACCTAATTCGCAACAAGAAGTGGGATCTTGCTTTCTCCATTTTGTATGTCAAATCCAGTAATATAAGCTTTATGTAATTGATTATATTCTTTTCTCCAGTGCTGTTTTTTTTTTAAATAATTGCTGGCATGATAGTTCATGTATACTCCATTTAGAGGACAAAATGATCTTGATTGCATAATTTATGAGATCTTTTAAGGACGCTTGGAAGCTGAATTTTCAGCCTATTCACTAGAAAGAGCAGGCGTCATCATGATTTTCATGAATCAGGCCTAACACATTTGAACAATAATCACTTTTTTAAACATTTGTCTTGAATAACTTTCCCCTCCAGTAATTCACAGATAACATTTTTTTACACATTTGATATGTAAGCGAACAGTACCGTAAATTCACTGACTTTAAAATGCAGTTTTAAAGTTACACTAGATTCATTGTGCTATAGGCAATGGTGGTATTCAAATAATTTAACAACCGGTTCTCTGTCCTAATGATTTCTTCCAACAACCAAACAGCTCAGAAAGTTAACAACCGGTTCTCCTGAAGAGGTATGAACTGGCTGAATCCCACCACTGGCTATAGGTACCATATGGGAGCCTGATCTTACCCATGAGAAGATACAAACATTTCCTTGAACCTAACTATAAAACTAAAATAAAAAAAATGAAATACTTCTTTTTATAAATGGATTTGTATTGATTTTTTATAAATTGAACCAATTAAACCAATTGTGTTTTATATTAGTTCACAGACACTGTGTTTGTTTATTTTTACTTACACCATTTCTTTATAATATCTGTTAAAATATAACCAAAATAACTAATCTAAAACTTTTTATTCAGAGAGACAGATTTCGTATCTATGATGAATACTGCAGGAATCATGAAAAAGCACAAAAGCTTTTGCTTGAACTTAACAAAATAAAAACAGTACGGACATTTTTACTGGTAAATATTTTTTTTTTGTATTCTATATCTCTTTCTTCTAGTTTGTGGGGTAATTTGATTGCAATTCACTTCTAAGGAAAGCCACTTTGGTGGTGTGGCCCACTGTGTGACCTTGGACCAATCACTTTTCTCAACCCTAGGAAGTATGGAAAGGAAAATCACTTATAAAATCTTGCCAAGAAAATTTTAGATACTAATCCAGGCAGTTTACAGGAGTCAACAATGATTCAAAGGTGTGCAGGTGTATGCTTGTGTGTGTGCATGTGCGTGCATGCACACAGATACATTTCCAAGTGATATGTAAGCTTTTGAAAGCTAAATAAATAAAGAGAGGCCTTCTGGATAAGAATAAGTGCCCTTTTTATTCATCACCTTCCTTCCCAGAACTTACAACTTTTCAAATCTTGTTAACTTTTAAATTAATCCCAATTAACATGGTAAACAGAAATGAAGCCATCGTTCTTAGTGGCGGCCACAAAAAGAGTGGCAGGCCCAGCGACGCTAGGACTGGCAAGAGTGTGCCAGAAACAGGGACAGAACAGTCCAAGCGTTTATTTGGGAGCGGTAAAAAAAAAATAAGACCCTGTCTTATTTTCGGGACAACATGGTATATCCAGGTAAAAACCTACCAAATCTCAATTATATTTTTGCTTCAAAAAATATCTATAAGTGATGTATATAAGCTAAAACTGACAAATACATATGATTTAATTCCTTTCTTAGAACTGCATGCTTTTAGGAGGACGAAAGAGTACAGAGGTACCTTTAGAAGGTTATTTGGTAACACCAATCCAGAGAATATGCAAGTATCCTCTTCTTTTGAAGGTATATATTTTTGTTTGAAGAAGTGTGAAAATATGTTCTTCTGAAGATATTATATTTTACATGAAAATTGTTTCATTTTCTGAATTTTGTTTGTCATTTGGAAATAAAAATCTGTTTATACAAAGACATGAGATTATTGTTTACTAAAGGGTATAATAAGACCCATTATGCACAGAAACAAAAGTTGGAATCTAGTATTGAGATCCTTTCTATGAAATAAAGATCCCTGAATGGAAATTTTTGAAAAAAAAACCTTGGCTATTGCTAGGAAGAAACTTCTTTGTACCTATAAGTTTTCTTATTAGACTGGAAAAATAGCTGGAAGCTGTTTTGGGACAGGTTTGACCAATTGTTTAGGGGACCACACTTCTACTTAATTCCTTCCTTTTATAAACATGCTGTTGGAATCATAGTGCCTACAGTTATCCAATTGTGAGGTGACATGGGGATGAGTGGTGCTGTATAATGCCTCTAGATCTAGAATGGGTCACAGTGATGCACAAGAAATAATATACAAAGGTTCTTGTATATTACAAAATATACAATCTGCTGCTGAAGTAGGAGCTGAAGTGTGACTCTAAGAAAAGAGGCAGTTCCATATGGGGAAGTACAATGTATTTGTTTGTTTGACCAATTTATATAGCTGTCCATTTCACTAAACAAGTAACTCTGAGAAGCATATATAAATTGGAATCCTGTCCAGAACTATAAAATGGAATAGAATGGAAAGATGGAATTCTAACCACAGTATGGATGGTCCATTTCTGGAGTCATTGTACTTCTATGTATATAGTAGCCTGCTTCAGATCTCCTACTCCACTTTTACTACTGAATAATTTTGAATAAAGTTCCTGCTTGGCTATTTGCAGATGCAGTAAGAACATAAATGGTATCTAGGCATAAATGTCCATATTCATTGTATGGCTTCTGCTAATATAAAATATTAGAACTGAATATTTTGGTATTTGATTAGGGTTGTTATAAAAATAGTGAAAATATGAATCCAAAGGATTCAAATATGATCCATCACCTTAAAGACTGGAATTGGAAACTATGCATTTAATGAAAATGGATAATAATGCTAATGCTAACTATATAGTTTTAATCTCATTATCAGTTTGATATCACAATATTAAAGTGCCTATAAATTTACCTATTTATTCCCAAATGAATAGGCATGGTTTTATAGCTTTATCATGAAAATGAAATTTTAATAATTGACTTCCATTTTGAGAAGAGTATAAGAATTGATATTATTATTCTTTTTTAAAAAAAAAAATAGGAATTGTTAAAGCGCACTCCCAAAAAGCACAGTGACTATTCTATCTTAATGGAAGCTCTCCAAACAATGAAAGCTGTTTGTTCCAACATAAATGAAGCCAAGAGACAGATGGAAAAATTAGAGGTTTTAGAGGAATGGCAGTCTCACATTGAAGGATGGGAGGTAATGTCATAAAATGTATTATTTTACCAAATGTGGAAGAAATAAGAACTCTGTACAATTATTATATTCTGTACAGGACATTATCATACACAATTAGAATAAATTGTTCTTTGTTTTACTTAGTAGATTGTTATCTTTGTGACATCTGATCGATCCACATCTGGTTTATTAATAACAGAAATTTCAAGTGAAGTGTTTTTGGTGCCAAGGCTCCAGGAGTTTCCTAGCAGTTTTGGACTTATCTTGGTTTATATATTCACAGTTTTTTAATTGAAACTATGATTAAATCTACATATAAACAACCTTTACACACCATTAAAAAGAGACAATGAAAAAGCTCAAAAGGAAACCTTCGATCCTATTGAGGAAGTGGACCAGGTCCTCAGTTCTGTCAGTGCAAACACCTGCCAATTAGATCTTTGTACCTCTTGGTTGGTGAAAGCCTCCAAGAGTTTGACTAGCAGGTGGGCTCAGGCAGTGATAAATTATTTACTGCTGGAGGGGATGTTTGGAGGGCCTTTTAAGGAGTCACTAGTTTGCCTCCTCAAGAAAACATCACCTGATCCTCTTGTCTGAACAATTTTTATTCAGTTTTTCTTCTTCCCTTTTTAGAGAAGATGGTAGAAAAGTGGTTGCTTGGCACTTCAGAGGCTCCTGAATGAAACGGATTATATGGACCCCTTTCAGTCAGGATTCAGGCCCAATTACAGCCTCGGTCACACTTGTGGATGATCTCTGGTGAGAGCAGAATAAGAGTAGTGCAACCATCCTTATTCCCCTTGAGCTCTCAGCAGCCTTTGATACCATCGACATTGATATCCTATGGGGTCTGGGCTGAGAAACACAATTTTATGCTGGTTCAGTTCCTTTCTCCAAGGCTGGTTCCAATCAGTGTTGATAGGAATGAAAGATTGAGGTGTGTGCCAGTTGCGGCCTTTCCTAAATCAACAATCCCTTGTTATCTCATCTTTGGACTATTACAGTGAGGTGTATATGGGACTGCCTTTGAAGAGAGTTCAGAAAGTTCAACTGTTGCAGAGTGCCAGAGTGCTGAACTAGAGCTCCTCTATTAGTAGAAATTTCAAGACTGAGCAAGTGAAAAATGGAAAAATGACAGCCACAGGTTTCCCTTAAAAACTATATTTTCTATTGAGTGGAGCACAGAAATTTTAAATAAATGTGAATTTCCTTTTCAAATAATTTCCTTTCAGAATAGGAAAAAAATGTTTCTTTCTTGCCTCTTTCTCAAAATGATGGCTTATAGGACATGACTCCTAAAAATCCTTATATTAGTTAGGAATTTTTGAATTAGTTTTTTTGGGAGGAGAACCTTTTTTATGTTTTCACTGTGGTAATGGAAACAAGAGTGGTACAAAGTTTAAAAAAATGGCTAAAATGGAAGCACATGCCTTTGCAAGAAGAAGGGCTAAAAACTGTATGGTTCCTGATGCAACCATTGCATTAGTTTCTGTAATATCATAGAACTATGAAGTAAATTCCAAAGACTGGAGGTAAAAATAACTGATCTAGAAGAAATTACTTCAAAGAAGATACAAAATAGATCTGAACATTTTTGGATGAGAATATAAAAGAAGATTCAGCAGAAGAGCATAATAGATGAAGCATATCACAGTACCTGATCAAATAGAAGTTTAATGAAAGCAGAAAAGAAATAAACTGTATTGGCCAAAGCATGAAACTATAGAGCTTTTTCTCATATTCTGCTCAGCATTGTTTATTACAATACAATACAATACAATACAATACAATACAATACAATACAATACAATACAATACAATACAATACAATACAATACAATA